TTCTGAGGCAGCGGTCCTCATAAACTTGAAGAAGTCTTATTTCGACTGTTCCCACAGGCAAGGTATCACACCCATACGACAAAATAGCCCATGCTGTCGACTGCTACCAGATAAATACCGTCTTGTCCCATAGGTATCTCAAATTAACTCAAGAATCCGGGCTCAAGTGAGCTCGAGATAGCTCAGTGGTTAGGGTTTCAGCTTATGGACCTGATGGTCCTTGGTTCGAACCCTACCTCAGCATCTCGACTGCTTCTGTCTAGGCTTGGACAACCTGGCAGTATCCCAGCCCTCGTGCCCTCTTCCTTTGAAAAGACAGCTATGCACTGAAAAGGCGCTACAGCTGAAAAGACCTCAAATTACCATTCGTGACTCGAGTCTCAGGGATTTATTTGCTGACCTAATCTCCACTCTACAACGGAGACTTTCGAGATGCACAATGTCGGGTGTTTTCTAAGCCTGTAAGTGACATGTTCAGTGACTGCTGTGTCTTGGAGTCTGACCTTACATTTTGTGGGTGCGAAGCGCACACCAAAGAACAGGAGAACTTTAGTCCGTACAAAACACTTATGCCTTCACTTCCTTTACGAAAACTACAACTATATCACTGCATATTCCAGATTGACAAGGGATTTGTCAGTGGATATTCGGACACCAGGGTATTGAAGACCTAAGGTTCTCATCGTATGGCCGATCCCGAAATTAATTAGAAATATTGAAGAGGACATCCCTGTCAAATACCACTTTTGTACGGAAGCTTTTGGAGAGCCCACCATACACTCGCACTCCTGCCTGTCTAAGAATAAGAACTTACTACATGAGTGAGCGGAGAATGAGTGAGGGAATTGCCCGTCTAAGTGAGTCAAATGTACCTTGGAAATCAGGGAGTTTTAAAGTTGTGGATCAGTTGTACGTGTGACCTTGTTCTTACATCTGACGTAGTGTGAAGATGTCATTAGCACAACACCTATCAGAAAGGAGTCCTGTCTTACAGCCGTTGAGTTGACGTCTCACGAGCCACCATCATGCGACAAAGCACGGGTGGCGTCAAGGGTCTCGGGTTTGATAAGTCTGTCTGTGTGTTCAGATATTTGGCAACCACAACAATATATGGGTTTTCGTCCACCATGACGAGATATTCACCACGTCATAAGAGTAGCTTTTGATAGTGTCAGAACTACAGTGGGTCGTGACATAAGCAGACACGACAAACAACGACCAAACAATTTCACGGGCCTTGCCAGACGAACCACATGGAGGTGGCTGTCAACGGGCAATGACCCATCCGCCCGATGACTAAGGGCTCTGCCAACCCCCGCACATCCTACCGCAATGGCGTCTGGATTGTCAGAAGTGTGTAGCCGGAAACGAGTGGAGAGTTGTGAGGCAGTTAACTCAGTTATTGTGCTTGCATTTTAAAGTCTTATTTCTAATCCACGGCAAACTTCAGTGTCAAGCGAGTCCATCGTGGGAGCAAGAGCAGCCTGTTATCTTGCTTGCTTCAGAGTGCAAACACTAGAAGCAGACAGATGGACGGAACGTCTAGCCTTTAGAATTGATTTTGGGATGCTTCAGGCTGTCAGCGCCGACTGATGTATAGATGTTGCGGCCAACACCGATGCGAGACGAACAAAGTCGTTAGTCTTAATGTATGGCCCAACAAGGGGGTCTGTGTGCCATATGCAGGAATTACGATGACCAGGCTGATGACACCACGTGACGGCTGATGTAAAATGACGGTATTGTCAATTGTAGGTATCGTGGCTTTACGTGGACTGGTATACTGCTGTGGCCCCCAGACCTAAACTGTTGGACGAATGTACAGCAGTGAAGCATCGGTGTTGAACACTGATGTCATGCTGTCGATGGTGATGATGTTGGACGAATAATGTCCTCGACAAAAGCCTTTTACTCACACACCTGACCACAAGGCAGCGGTATCTGGTGCGAAATGTCAGCCCATCCATTTTCTAAATCACAAGTCTCCACACATGTTTCAAACGCCAACCTGGAGCCCCTCAAGTCTGTGTTGGTCAGGCAACTATCCACTGGCTCTGCAAGGATCGCACAGACACCCTCTAGTATAGCCCAATGGGTCACGGAGGCACACAAACAGCTACACCACGGTAAGGTCCGGTCTTCGTGAAAGAGTTGGCTATTGATCGAGCTCTAGCTATCTCAGTGATTAGGGCGGAAACTTACCAGATGGTCCCTGGTTGGAACCCAATCTCGGTATCCAGGCTGCTCGTGTCTGGGTTTGGCAACGTTGCACCATGTCAGCCCTCGGGGATCCTTCGGGTTCCGTGGCAGCTAGGCACTACAAGTGTGTTATTGTTGGTTGTTGGTCAGGTGTCTTCTTATCTGTTTGTATAGCTTAAAAATGGGCTTGCTCCAACATGGCCTTCGCATTTGTTATTTCAACGGTTTTGGAAGGTATAGGCACTTCGCTTTGGGCTGCTTCCTTCAGAGACGTAAGGCTTTTTGCAAAATTTTCCCACTTCCCCACATTTCCACATTTTACTGAGGCCTTCTCCATAGTTTTAAGGCAATTAAGCACCAATTTCAACTTGTGATCTGTTACCGTTGTGCTGATGAAGCTGATAATTGCATCGGTTGGTCGCTATACTTTGCAACATCTCTAGCCAAGCGCGGAGACAGTTGGTCGCACCGTTGACACCAAATCTTTTCGTAATTTCTTTTATGATCTTTTACCAAGTAGTGTGTTGTCTTCCCCAAATTTCGCATCATTTCGAAGAAGCTTGGGAGATAATTGATGGTTCGGTAAGTGTAACACAAAGCGAACCACAGCGGCTGATAATATTAGACGTTGTCTCTGCCTTCGATGCCTGGTGATGCCATTCGGTGCCAGTGACGCTAAGACATCTGATAACACTGCAGATTATCTACTGCATCATTATCATCACCATCGACAGCAATGCATCGGTAATACGTACTAGTGTTTAACTTCCATACAAGCATGAGGGAAGGAAGCCTTACTGGAGAATGAAAGGGAAGAAGGGGAGACTTGGCGCGAATAAGCCTTTCGTCCTTAAGGAAAGCTGTCCAGAATAGGGCACCTATATCCTTGGACAACCAAAATATGGGACCATTTATAATTTTCGGGTCAAATTATTTCACTACAAACATCGAGAGTGTGCACTCCGAGATAATGTCAATGTCGATGTTGAACAAAAAGGAGAGTAATAGCTTTGCTGAACTTCACTAGTCTTCAGGAGTCTCCGTCCCAATCAGAAACGAAATGTAAAGGGCCTTCCTCTGGTTTGACGGCTTTTGTGCCTCCATGTCCCATTGAGCTGTACTGGGTGGTGTCCATTTGCCACTCTCAGAGTCTCTACTACCAAGTTGGGTAATGATTAGAGGTCTGGCCAACACAGTTGCCCTCCAGGATGTCCCATTGAGCTGTACTGGGTGGTGTCCATTTGCCACTCTCAGAGTCTCTACTACCAAGTTGGGTAATGATTAGAGGTCTGGCCAACACAGTTCCCTGGCCCTCCAGGTTGGGATTTGTAACTTTTGTGACACACCTTTACTTCCCGCCGCCGTCTTGCGGCCGAATTTTGTGTCAATGACTTGGGGACCGCAATCGTCGTGGTGTGTAGACCTTGGCGCCCTGCCAGAATCCTTGCTACACGTGTAACCATGATACAACCAAAAATAATCTCATGCCCCAATGGCCTGTGTGGCGACTGAGCGGTTAGATACCCGTTGATAGTTATCTCTGGGCGCTTCGTTTTGTAACGTCTTTGAAAGAATATCGAGAGGTCATTGCATCCTGTTTATTTTGTCTGCTTACGCCCCAACTGGCTGTAGATCTAAATCTGCCAAAGGCATTTTCTCTGGCATACTAGGTAATCTTTTAAAATGGGCCAAAAGCTCAAATGTCGTTGTTGTTGCTGATGACGTGAATACTCAGATACGTAGAACAAGCGCTGCTAAGGCCCAGTTGGATAGTGGTCTTGGTTTGTATAGGAGGTGCGCGGACAACGGAAATAGTCTATTTTAGATGTGTGTCGATCACAAACTATTCCCTTGCAGTATCAATTTCCGGATTGCTCGACGACGTGATACCCATCAACGAACGTGCTCAATTCGCCCGGCCATTGAGAGGCTACTAGGCCCAGAAAGAAAACGCGACTATCAGAAGTGACTCCTCGAACTTCCACCGGATGGTCCGATGTCGGATGTAAACAGCCAAAGCGCTACTTAAAGCCGGAAATCAGGGGGTGCACAACGTGTGCCTTGGCAAATTGGTGTGAAAGAGATTACGAAGTCTGTGTGTTGTTGGTGTCGCACGCCTTCTGGGATGCGGTCCCCGCGACCTCGCCTGCGCTTATCTGGAGACGTTGCAAAAATGGCGGCTGATCGATATCAGCGGCCTTCGTGCTGTCATTTTCTTTCCAGGTTGCCTGACTGAGCGCTTGGAAGTGTAGGGGCCTCAGAATGTAGCACCATGTCTTCTCTATCATCCACTTTCCTTTACTCTAAGGCCTTAAATATAATTAGATTAACTTTTTGGTTGTACAGTACTGAAGCATCAGTGTTGATGTCTTTGACGATGCTTCCAGCTGCAATAGTTTTTCTTTCTTTCTTTCTTGCTTAGCTGACACTCAGATCAAGTGAATGGTAGGATCTGAGGTACTGCCAGGTTGCTCGAGTCTGGATGGAAGCAGTCGAAAGCCAGGACTGGATTTTGAACCATAGACCTTCCAGGCACTGGTTTCCCGTCTGGACATCTTAGGCGCAGTGCAATCCAGTTACGCTAGTGTTTACTTCTGCCATGGAAGATAACGCAATTGGACGTTAGTAATAGATACTGGAACGATTCGAGTGTGTTATGAGAAATTCTCGCTGATTTTCTTTGACACCTTTTATGGTGCAAAGGTTGAAACGTCACTTACTCCACCAAAAAAACCAAACATTTAATGCTGAGACGCGTTTTTCATTGATTCATAGATTTCGTTACCCTTACGTCTTTTCAGCTTATCGTCTGTTTCTCCTTATGGCAAAGGAAAATGGACTGCCAGAACTCGAGGAAGGAGAAGTAGGCGAGGAGGAGCGGAAGGACGATGAAGAGTATGGAATTTTCCATTTTACCCCTTCTCGAACTTCCAGGACGGTCACGGAAACTGCCGAAGCCAAACCCAAGAAGCATCGCAGTCACAAAAAGAAGAAGGACAAAAAATCTCGAAAGGAGAAGAAGGCAAAGAAAGAGAAAAAACATAAGAAGAAGCACCGGAAACACAAACGGAATAAAGAGTATGTGTGTTCTATTCCGGCTATAATCGACGTAGTGCCGGTGATTTGTCCGATACTGAGCAACCGCCTGCAAAGAAGCACAAAGTAGAAGAGAAACTGACGGAAGGGTAGGCGTACTTTAAGTTCATGTCATTGTTTTCAAACTAGTGAATTGTCTGATGCTGAGCAACTGTCTGCGAAAAAGGATAGAATTGAGGAACCTCCAAACAATAAGCTTCCGTTACCCAAAGAGGAGTTTAAGCGTCCGGACGAACCTCGGCCGCGTATGCAAACACCAGCTCACCTTGTACCTCTAAAGGCTGAGGCTCCGTTTAACAATAGTAGTGCTCAGGAAGCCAATAAATCTTTAAATGGAGGCACAAAGAAAGTTCCAATATCTCTAGAAGAATTGCTCGAGAAGAAGAAAGCTGAAGAGGCCGAGCTCGTAAAACCGAAGTTCATTTCAAAGGAGGAACGTGAAATGGAGGCTTTGAAACGTCGACAGGCTGAAGTTCAAGCGCTACGCGATAAACAGCGCGAGGATATGAAGAAACAGTCAGAGTATTTGCAAAAAGCTAAAGGTAAGCAATCATGTCTCATCATAATCCTTTCATAAAGAACTTGAACGAGAAAAACGAGTAATGGAGTTTGCTGAACGGGACCATCGTCGTGTGCGCGGTCGTGAATACCAGTCAGGGAAATCAAGCTCCGACACTCGAACGTCTCGTGTCGAAAAGAAAGACGAGATCCAAGAGTCTTTGGCAATTAAAGAACGCTATTTGGGACAGAAGCGGATGACCAAACGTCGCCAGCGTCGCCTTAACGAGCGAAAGTTTGTATTCGATTGGGATGTCAGTGAAGACACAAGTCAAGACTACAATCCCCTTTACAACAATAAGCATCAGATACAGTTCTTTGGTCGTGGTCATATTGGCGGTATTGATATAAAGGTTTTTCTCTTTTACCAGGAGCTAACACATTTTCACTTCTAGCAACAGAAAAAAGAAACTGGACGGTTTTATACAAAATTACTAGAATCAAGGCGTTCTGGTATTCAGCGAGACCAGGAAAAGTAGATTTATAACGAATTCTGTTTCCAAAGTACATTTCTCGTTTAGAAAGCGACTTGACGATGTGGCCAAACGTGAGGCAAGACAGAAATACGATGATCGGCATTGGACGGAGAAATCCCTTTCGCAAATGGTGGAACGAGATTGGAGAATCTTCCGTGAGGACTATGGGATTAGCACCAAGGGTGGTAACATACCAAATCCGTTACGATCTTGGGCTGAAATGGATGCAAGCCCTGAGCTGAAGGAGGTTATCAAAAAGGTGCGTCTTAGCATTCTCTCACACGCTTGGATAATCTTTTTTCTTTCAGGTTGGCTATGCAGACCCCACACCTATTCAACGACAAGCAATCCCGATTGGTCTTCAGAATCGGGATATCATTGGAGTTGCCGAAACCGGGTCTGGCAAAACCGCTGCCTTCCTTATCCCTCTGCTCAACTGGATACAAAGTCTACCGAAATTGGAACGTATGGAGGTTTGTGTCTATCATTTAGGTTTCTTTTTACCGTATTCTTTTTTCCAGGATACGGAACAAGGTCCATATGCTATTATCATGGCCCCCACTCGTGAACTGGCCCAACAAATCGAGGAGGAAACGGTTAAGTTTGGTCGTGCTCTGGGCATCAAAACTGTCTCCTTGATTGGAGGTCTGTCTCGAGAAGAACAAGCATTGAAGTTGAGAATGGGTGCTGAAATTGTTATTGGGACGCCTGGACGCCTGAACGATGTGTTGGAGAATCGGTATATCGTTCTGAACCAGTGTACCTACGTTGTCTTGGATGAGGTAAGGAGTGTCATTTCATAATCAATGAATAAGCTACTTTCCAATGTGTACAATTCTGGCACCGCACTCTAATCTTAAATAAGAGGAGACTCCTTATTTTCAGAGTCGTCACATCAAACAGATAACCGTCATATATAGAGCCTCAAAAATAACACTGAATTTTTAATTCACCCCCCCCCCACATATTTATCAATACACATTCCCTCCTTTCATTATCAGGCGGACAAAATGATTGACATGGGATTCGAGCCTGAAGTGAACAACATTTTGAGCTACCTGCCGGTTACAAACGAGAAGCCGGACACGGAAGACGCCGAGGATGATTCGAAGCTTCTTTCGAATTTTGCTACTAAGCACAAGTACAGGCAAACTGTCATGTTCACAGCCACCATGCCTCCGGCTGTCGAACGTTTGGCACGGTCGTACTTACGTCGGCCGGCGGTTGTTTACATTGGAAGTGCTGGCAAACCCACCGAACGGGTGGAACAGATCGTTTACCTTGTTTCAGAACAAGAGAAACGGTCAGTATTTCGGTCATTTAACAGTTTTCTTTCATACGTTAACATTGTTTTCAATGGAGCCAGGATTGTGCTTGACTGAAATAGACAAGCCTCTAGGTGACATTGTGGCAGTCTAGTCCGGCTTTGTGGACAGTACCGTTTTATACTGAAATCGTGATTCCACTGTAATCCTCAATCGATCTAACCATTATCTGGCATGAAAATCACAACATACATATGAACATTGAGTCATTCTAAAAGGAATCACTTATACCCGGTCTATACAGATGGGAGGGGTACTGGGTAAATCGGACGCGCTTTGCAATATGCGTGATAACAATGTGGGATAGCCGAGTTTTGCACTTGATGACTTAGGGACTACAAATGGCGGTGATGTGCCACTGTTTCCGTTCTTTGTGTGTTCATAACTGGTTCTATAGTGGACATGCAAAATAACTTGTCGAATGGTGGTCGTTGGTTTGTTCGTCTCAGTATTTGCGCATCATTTACACTTGCGGTGGTCCACTTTCCATTATCAGTACTGCTGGAGGCTTTGGTGGATCGGTTAAATCACACTTTTCCGTCTTGTTGACCGGATATTTTTTACTGATTTCACCAATCATAGTCCAGAGAAAGTCCAAAGAAAGTCGCAGTGGACGAGCGCACGTCTTTGACCTTAAAACAGCCGTGTGGAGGAACGGTGCGTTTATCTGGCAACTATCTGTTTGCTTATATCTGGTTATGTTGATGTAGCGTGAACAAAACTGCTCAACCACCCATCATGAGAGAATGCGGTTCGCGTGTGGAACTCGCAGGATGCGCCCTACTCATTATTTCCAACAGAGCGAAATAGTCTCGCGTCGCCGATGTGATTTTCAGCTTAGGTTGGCCCAAGTCTACATGATGAAATGTGAAACTGACATTGATTCACTCTCCTTCTCATTCTCTAAGGTCGCAAACTGTACCGACTTCTGGCGGTAGTGTTTTATGTGTTTTTTGGAACCGGTTAAACAGTTGAAACGCCGGACTGGGCGGATAATTGACCCGTGTTCATTTTGGTTCTCGCTTTCTATTTGGGAAACCAGTTGACTCACCTATGCTGCATGCTTTTTCCGCATTCTATCCTCTTCTAGTAAGAAGCTCCTGGAAATTCTCAACCGCGGAATCGACCCACCTGTCATCATTTTTGTCAACCAGAAGAAAGGCGCCGATATGCTGGCTAAGGGTTTGGAAAAGCTCGGCCATAGTGCGGTTGTACTACACGGTGGCAAGGGACAGGAACAACGGGAGTATGCCTTAGCCAGTTTGAAATCCGGACAAAAGGAAATTCTGGTCGCCACTGACGTTGCTGGTCGTGGTATAGATATCAAGGATGTGTCGTTGGTTATCAATTACGATATGTCCAAGACGATTGACGGTGAGTCTCTGGGTTCTGGTCCTTGTGGACGTTGTCAACACGGATGACTGTCTTAAAGTGTTCGTCCATATTGTTGCCGTCAGACTCAATATGTCCACATTCTTTGCTTTGGTAAAGCAGAGCGAAACTGGGCATTGACTAGTAATGTAGGAATCTATTCCCTTCGAAATCCTATCCGCTATCCTATTCGTACTGATAGCCGAGTCTCTGATCCAAAAGATAGTATAACCACACCATCACCATGTGTACATCATCATAGGTGTGTAGGGATGATCTCCTCAGCCAGGTAGCCGGATTTATCTACCAATTTGCCTGGCGGGTTGGCAGATACGAAGTCTGGTATGACTCCATGCAGTCTTGCAACCACACTACACTTTCCGGGTAATGGTACTTTTGTCAATGTCTCATTCCGGTTCATGGAATCCCTCTGGAGATAGTATCAAGGACTTGTTCGACCCATCTCTCCAGACAGCGAATTCGACAGTGAACTACGGATTCAAGCTTTTCTCAATCTTGTCCGTGGAACCCTGTCATCCGGCCAGTTAGCCGAACCAGCTGGAATAGGGCACTACCTCTTTGTGTTATGAAAGGTTTTCCATCTTTATGGATTTTCCATTAACCAGCCCTCTCTGTCATCTCTTAACCTCATGACTGGGTGGGGTTTGATGGATCCATGTGCGCGCCGCGGTCGGTAGCTGTTAGTGTGATTTCTATACAGCTAATCTTGGTGACCAGCATCCATTAGGACGAGTCAAATAGCTCAGACAGCTGTTCATAAAAGCTGGAAGCATAGTCTCTCACTTTTCCATCGGTTTTCAGATATCATTATCAATGTTCGTGCGAATGTCGAATGGCTAGGGTTCAGCAATATCTATCTAGGGTCGGATGCGTTCTCAGCCGCTGAGCCGTCGCCTGTCAGAGCATATGTTGACGCGACAGACATACCATTTTCAAGGCTTCGTGTTGCGCTATTATTTGAGCCGATCAGATCTTACCCAATCAAGTGCGTTTCGCTTTGGAGCAATGCATGCCAGGATATCAGGTCCTCAGATGCCCGAGGAACGAAATGTGTAAGAGTTTGGTGCGCATTTCCGAATTGAATTCTTTTATTGAGTTTTCTGAGCCATCCACAGAAAAAGAAAGCAAATCTCAGAAAGGGATTCCAAATTTGACAAAGAATGCGAGCCTTGAATGCTGCTTTATGAGTGAGATCTCTCGCATTCGAGAAATCTGTTTTCGTCTAAGTTCCGGGGGCTTAGGCGTGAAACGGTGGTTTGGTGATTGACAGCTAGGTCGACCAGAACGGGCCACTTAAGAAGTGAAGAGTGGTTGAGGGAGGAGGGATGCTGGTGAAGTGAGGGCTATAAAGACGAGTTTACGTCCCTCGAATGCCTAGGCTGAAAAGTAGTTGTACTTGGGGTAACTCTATTTGAGACTTAAGCCCGAAAATCGGACTATGCACTGGAAGACTTCAGAGTCTCGCTGCCTGTAGAATTCTACTCAAAACCCAGGCTTGTAAAGCAGCGCGTGATTCCTGAAGGATTGTACTGACAACCAGCAACCCAAAAGTGTGATCTGGTCGGCTGCGAGAATGCTGATTCGGGCTGGGGGCCCGGAGAGCAAGGTGTGAGGCCTTCACAGGCCAGACGTTTTTGAAGCCGGATTCTTGGTATCTTTTAGTTGCTCTTTGATTCTGTTGGATGATTTACCGTTGTTCGAACCCGAGCTTTGTATCTCTACTTCCCTTGTCTAGGCTCGAGCAACCTGGCAGTATCCCAGTCCCCTTGCTTCCTTCTGGTTGCATGGCAGCTAGGCACCAAAAGGTGTAAGCTGTAAAAAACCACTTACTGCCTTCGCACTTCTATCGCAGGGCAGTTCAGTTTTACTCCTAGTATTGTGTGGTACGTAGGTTCCTTTCTCTGACAGTCCTTCTCGATGTGATGGAACCCTGGAGAACAGAATTCCTGTCGGTATAGCTCTCAGAATCACTGCGGCGACCATGCTCGACTGCGATGTTGTTCTTGCAGCTTTTTCTGTAAGGAGGAGTCAGGATACGATGTAATCAGCGCACTTCGCCCAGACAGACTCCGTTACGTTACATTATTTGCTTAGAGGCAGCGGCTTGCGCCCTGCTATGCTTAATCACCAATATCGGTATTTAGTCGGATGGTTGTCTAGACGAACCAGTCATGAATGACTCAGGTTTCCATCGGGTACTACAGCAAACTTAACTTTTGGACACCGGACATGCACTGATAACTCAGGTATGTCTTCCTGTACGATTTGATCTGTAACTGGGCTGTGCAGCTGAAGGTTTGAAAGCATTATGCTGACCCACTGATGTGTTCGTAGTCTATCTGAACCCGTACCTTTGGCTCTGCTGCAAAGTTTGCAGTGCAGTTGAGCACTAGCTGATTATATCATTGGATTAGGTTCGCGTTGTCAGACATTCTCAGTCAAGTAACCTGAGCCTCTTAATCCAGCTGAAACATCACTCGCGCCCAATTCATTCACAGAGCTCAATGAAACTAGCAATTGCGGCTGATTTATTGCCACTTGCTGCTTCACTTGGACCCAGAATTTATTGAGCACTGACCCGCCTAACTTCTTACTTGACCGGTTAATTTGGCGCATCAAGCTGCACCAATATTAAACCCGTCCTCCGTAGTTGTTTCCCCCGAGATTCGAGAGGTCACCCGGCGTTAGCACCTGCGTATACTGGGTCCGAAGAATGCTCCTAGTGGACTGTGGTAAGCGTGGGGCTTCGCAACCCTAGAATTACTGTCCCTCTTTATTGCCAGTATGTTTCAACCGTTACTTATTATCAGTAAGGAACTCAGCCGAATGCAAATTGCCATGTGGTCTTCATACTGGTCGAACTTAAACACTCATTCGTTCTCGTTCTGTTACATCCTCAGTTGCCTCAATGTGTCTAGCTTGGTTTCCCTCTACCAATCTTTAATCAATAGTATTTTATTCGAATCCGTTTTTTACCCCTAACCATGTTATGTGGCAATTCAACTCAACAAACTAAATCTACCGATTGTCACCAAACTTTTTCGAAAACCAAATCAAGGCCTATGGGAACGCTAATAAGCAGCCCGATTCTCGCTACTGACTAGATTACAGTAGTTTGCGAACGACAACACTCGTCACTGGCGCTTCGTCGCTCAAATGGCGACATATCCAGGCCTAATGCAGACAGACCCATGGGATTCCATTTAATCGGTAAGGTTAGGTATGGCCTGTAAGACATGGATCAGTGGGACTTCGGGATTCCAACTTTAATGCCCCGTTTTTCCGGTCTGCTGATTAAATTCCCATCTACTCAGTTCTAATGTGTCCTCTTGGTCAACTTTTCTCCGAGATATCATCTTACTTTATGCACCTTTACCATCACTTCGGTTCTCCTGATTCAGACTATGTCCATCGTATCGGCCGCACTGGAAGAGCTGGAAAGTCGGGTACCGCTGTCACACTGTTGACGAAAGAAGACGCTCCAGTGTACTATGACCTTAAGCAGTTGCTACTCCAGTCCCCAGTTTCGACCTGTCCTCACGAACTGGCCAACCATCCGGATGCGCAAACCAAACCGGGTATTCTGGCTGCGAAGAAACGCCGAGCGGATGAGACCGTGTATATCACTTAGTTCCACTCCCAGGTGGCTTGTTCCGTGTTTGTAATTCCCTCCGCCTGTTTTGGACCTGTCCCCTTTGTACAGTACATCGTGATACAGTTTTTATGAAATATATCGTTTCTTCGCGCAGCACGATCCGTGTATTGCATGTTACGATACGTTTTGTGGTTTTGGAACTCGTTTGGGCAAACCGACACATATTGTATAGTGGCCCTCAGCTCTAACTCTGCCAACTAGATATGTGTTTCGGATTTTTGGAAATCAAGACTTCACCGAATGCTTCTACTATATGTTTTGGGTGGGGCTGATACAACAGTTCGTCAAACGAATACACCTTTTTCATCGTGTATTGGCTGTTTTGTGTTGTTCTTTTGTTTGGTTCACCACTGACTCTGAACGGAAACGTGACTGCGCCCATCGAGCCACGTGCCAGGGCTTTTTGTGTTGGTCGAAACGCCTTTGGTCGTTTTCTGTCACCAAAGTGGTGCACGCTATTAGAAAAATAAACTGATTTGCTTATCGATTTGGTTTCGATGGGAGAATCACCTGGAATCCAGCTGAATCTCTCGTTTATGATGTTCTTGACATTATACTGATGAGGTTGCATCTCAGTTGTCGTGGATGGTGCTCTGTGTCCCAAAGTACGTCAGGTTTAGACTACTTGAACTGTTTGCTGGGAAGCAGTTAGTCAGGACGAACAGTCTAAATGTTAGCCGGTAATTTATTAACTGAGCTTACGTTCATTTCTTATTTGTGGGCGATGATGCAGTTCTGTCAGCGGTT